GTGGGGGAAGCCACGTCTGCTGCTGTCCTGCACCCAGGTAACCCAGGGCCTGCAGGGTTTGTAATCTAACAACTGGGCTGACGTCTGACGGGGCTAAACTCCCCGAGTGATTTTCTTAGGAAGCTGGAAGTACCCTTGTTAAAGGGGTTTTAAAGTGGCTGCAGAGAGCCCACTGCTGCCAGGGTGCGGGACTGAGTCCTGGAGGGTCTGTGCTCCTCCCTGGCCCTGTTTAGGGCAGAGATGGGATGCAGGCAGTCACATGGCACAGCTTTGTTCATGTCTGTCTGTCCGTCTGGAGGCCGAAAAAAAAAGCCAGCGTCAGCTCCTTGCAGCGAAGGTAGGGTACACAGACAGGGAGTTCCCAGAGGTTTCTGGAACAGCAGTGGCTGGGGCAGGAGGAGGGTGGTCATAGGGCACAGCCACCCTGGACGTGGCAAAGCTGCAGCTCAGCCTGCATTAAACATTGGAGAATACACCTGGGGCCCCAAAGCCAAGCCTTGGGGAAACCCATCTCAGTGCTCCCAGAGCTGTTTGCTCCCTGGCCCTGGAGACTCCCAGTCCTGGAGAAGGAGAGACCAGGGCACATGGGCTCCCAGCACTGTGGCTGCCTGTCTGCAGCAAAGCCACCTGTGCATGGAGTCGGCGGACAGGGCTGTGCTTATCTATCTCCCAGAGCCCCGAGGCTGCAGGGGTTTACCTCCTGGTTGCACGAGTTAAACCAGGGGACTTGAGCTGGGGTCAGAGCATGGGCAGTGCCAAGAGAGGGCAGAGGTGGGGAAACAAAGGCACTTTGCTCATGGACTCAAGTCAGCCCAGAGAGACCAAGTCAGGGCCAAAGGATTTCTGTGAGCCCCAGACATGTAGGTTTAGCCTTCACATGTGCTCAAAGAGGGGTTGCCTCCATCCCACCTGGACATGGGCTACCAGCCGCTTTGGGGCAGGACTGGGGGTCTCTGAGCACTGCTGAGTTGGTGGGCTGTGCCGCCCCACCCTGCAGGCAACAAGGGCTGCGGCGTGTGGATGACGTCCTCCAGCCTCCCGCACCTCATCAACAACCAGATCAGCCACAACAGCTTCTATGGGGTGGCGGTGTTCTGCCGCAAGGACGACGCTGGTGACTACCACCCCGGTCAGGGGGGCAGCGAGAGCTTCCACGAGGAGAGGGAGGGTGCCGGTGGGGAGAACGACCCCGACAGCGAGGAGGAGTACCGGGCTGCCCGGCGTCCCATCAGCGTGGCGCTGGTGGAGTTGAACAGCATCAACCACAACGGAGGTGAGCTCAGGGCCCAGAGTTCTGGGCTCCAGGAGAAGGGGTGGCATGCAGAATGGTGTGTTGTCCTGGCCCATCAGCACTGCGGTGGGCCGGGGTCATCTTCAGCTGCCTCTAGGCCAGGAGCACTAGAAAAATGGTGGACTGAGACCTGAGTGTGGGTGGGTTTTTGTCCTTAAGCTCCCAGTCAGAAAGTCATATTGTGACAGAAGAAACAGGGTAGCTTTTAGAAATCCATTTGTGGTCGTTATGACTGAGGCTGCAGGCTCCTAACCGATGGCTCTTCTTTTTGGTTGGCAGCTGCGGGGTTGCACGTCAAGAGCAGCGAAGCGCTGCACATCGTCGCCAACGTGATTCACGCCAACCACGATGGCGGGGTGGCTGTGCTGCAGAGCAGCCAGCTGACGCGCATCGCCCACAACAGCATCTCCGGCAACAGCCGGGGCGGCGTGCTGGTCGAGGCCAAGTGCCGGGTGGAGCTGCGCGGCAATGGCATCTATGAGAACCGCAGCCACGGCATCGTCTCCAAAGGAGAGGGCGTCATCGCAGAGAACGACATCGTCGGCAACCACAGGTGTGGCCTTCAGCTGCTCCAGGCAGCGGACATGAAGGTGTGTCCCGCGGAGAGCTGAGGGGGCACCAACTTGTGCATCCCTGCACCCAGGGGCAGAGGCAAGGCAGAGGCTGCTGCTGCTGCCCTCCCTCCCTGGGCGAGGGGAAGGCAGCAGGCCCCCCAGTTAGCGAGCAGGGCAGGAGGGACTGCCCTGGCATTGACAGCAGGAGGAGTGGACAGTTGGGATCTCATCCTCCACCCTGTGACTAGAGAGGGTGTAATTTCCAGGCTACATTAGAAGTGTGTCCAGCCAATTGAGGAAAGTTGTCACCCATCTCCCTTGCCATCAGGAGGCTGCATCTGTGAAGTGCTGTGTCCAGTTTGGGACCCTCAGGGTCAAAAGAGAGGTGGGGAAAAGGGAGAGAGTCTTTTGCAGAGCTTCCAGGATGGGCAAGTGCCAGGATGCATGACTGACAAGATGAGGCAGAGGGAACTGCTCTTGGTTAGTCTGGCAAAGGAGAAGCCAAGGGGGGGTCTAACAGCAGCCCACAGCTGCCTGAAGAGCAGTTGGAGCCAAACCCTTCTCAGCAGTGCCAGGCAGTACAGCAAGGGTGAAACAGCACAAGTTGCAGTGGTCCCTAGACCTTGGCAGGTCCAGGTGGAAGACTGAGGGAACCTTCTTGCCTTGGTGGGTGGCGCAGCCCTGGAACAGGCTACAGAGCAGCATGGGGTCACCATCCTTGGGGTTTCCAAGCCTTGGCAGGACAAAGCCAGGGCTGCCCTGCCTAGGCAGTCCTACTCCAGAGCTCCTTTCCACCAGCAGTCCTTAACTCCAGTTTTTCTGTGGGCAGTCATTTGGAATAGGCTGGGGGAAAGTAGGCAGAAATTGTTTGAGGGAAGATACAGGTGGGTATTAAGTAAGCGTTTGTTTTTAATCAGGGCACCAGTGTAAAAGTAGAGTGCACTGCTCAGAAGCAAGTGACATTTCCATCCCTAGTGGGTTTGAAGTGTGTCATGTCCTAACATCAAGAGGGGTTTGGAAGTGCTCTGTAGTGCCCAGAGAGAGGAGGTGAGATCTTCCCTAGCCTCAGCATTGTTGAGTCCATGCTTATTATTGCTCAGGAAACCATACGTGTTCCAGCGGAGCTGGCCATGTTGCCCCAGAGCACTCTGTGCCCATGGTGACAGGAATGTGAACAGAGGTCTGTTATCAGCAGCAGCTTTTCAGGTGGGCGAGCGCGTGGGGGAAGGGCTTGTGCCAGCTCGTGCCATTGCTCAGTGGCAAAGAAAAGAATGAAGTTTGGAAGTCCTGTCTCAAGGCTGTATCTGCTTTGACAGTGGTCCACAGGTGGCTTGTCACATCTGTCTGATGTTTAAGCCTTGGTAAAGGGCAGCTCAGTCATCATTTCCCACATGTGGAGTCATAGATGGCTTGTAGGAGAGACCTCTCTTCCTCAGAGCAGCAAAGGGAACCCTGTACATTTTGGTGCAATGACATTCAACAAAGTCTGTCTTCTTCCAGGCTTGTCCCCTGTAGTTAACTGAGCAGCACAGTGGGTGATCCCATAGGCCTCTGCTGGAGATTTGCAGGCTGCGTGAGCTGTGCTGAAGAACTGGGGTAGCTAGCATCTGAACTAGATTTTTGGAAGTTAGATGCAATGTTCCAACATCTAGCCAGTTCCCAAGGTTAGTACCTGGCTCAAGGTTGCCTCCGTTCTGTTCTTTGTGGAGGTGAAGCCATCGTGCATCAAAATGATAACTGCAATTTAACTCATCATGAAGGACCTCAAAATGAGTATACAGAAAGCCCTGCCAAGACAAATGCTCTGTGTGAGTCCTGCAGGGGCTGCAGACTCCTTTGGAAAACCATGCCTGTAGAAGAACATTGTCCTCTGGAGCAGAAGCTAAAAAATGCTGCATTTTCCATGGTCCCAGCTGTCCAGTCCCTTGGAGCACACAGGCAGGGTTGGGGAGCAGAGTGAGGGGCACAGGTACTTCTGGAACTCCTGGCAATGTCGTGGTGCCATCATTTCTCATCCGACCACTGGCAGAGCCAAGAGGTGCCTGAGGGCAGGTGATGTGGTGTGTGATGCTGGGTGGGGAGAAGCATTGGGCAAGGAGTGTCGCAGGAGCAGTTGCTGTGGATCCAAGGAGGAAAAAGGACCAAACTGATCTTCCAGATGATGGCACAGTGAGAGCTGTGGGAAGAGGAGACTCCTAAGTGCTCTTTTTTCATATACAAAGAAGTGACAGCCTGTACGTAGGGCTGTTCGAAACCTGGAGGGCAAGGAGCAGCAGCAAGTTCACGTTCAGCAGCCTCTGTTCTGGGCGTTGGGTACCAGCTGCAGGGAAGCTTGCAGTGTCTAGCACTGACAGCACCTGAGCTGCCAGCCTAGGCCACCAGGCCTGGAAGGCCTTGGGAAAGCTGGTGTGTGCATGGCTAGGGCGCGTCCAGTCTGAACCCTTGGTATGCTCCCAAACTGCCAGGGAGTCCTAGTGAGCCTGTGGAAGAGCTTTGGGGTTTGGTTTTGTGTTGATCGAAGAGCCATATGGGCAATGTCCTTCTGCTTGGGCCATCCCATCTAAAGCTTATTTTGCAGGTGACCAAGAACAGGATCCAGTCCTTTCGGGACTATGGGATTGCTCTCTTTGATGAAGCCAAAGGCCTTGTGCAGGAAAATCTTATTTTCCAAGGGCGATCCAAGAAATCCATTTTGCGACCGATATCAAATGCAGAGGATTGTGTCATCCAAAACAACGTGCTTCTCACCTTCAAGAAAAGGTGAGGTCCTTGGCACCATGGGGTGCAGTTGCAAGCTTGGAGCCACCATTGTGCTCCTGTGCTAGGTAATCACTGGAGGGCTCTGCTTTGTAGCTCCTCTTCCCAGCTTCCCACGCCAACTGACCCGTGGTACGAGCGCACGTGCGTGGTGAACCACTGCAGGTGGGAACCGCAGAGCAAGCAGAGCCAAGAGGTTCCTCACGACATACCTCTAAAGCCAGCTGAGGGGTTTGGGTTATCCCTTGACAGGCCAGAGTGGGTCTTTGCAATCTCTCACATCTGCCCCATGGCCTGGCCAGCTCATTCTCCTGCGCAGTGCTGCCTTTGACCATCTGTCTGCTGTGTTTGCATACTGACCTGCTGCCCCTGCGGTACAGACAGCCCCAGGGAGTTTGAAGGCTGGACAGTGAGAGTGGAGAGTCGGAGGAAGGAGGAAAGGCCAGAGGTACCTCCAGTCTGCATTGTGCTTTTGTGCTGGCTAGGAGGAGGGTGGCCTTAGGCAACAGGTTCCACCTCCAGGCTTTCGCTACCAGAGCAACGTGAATGGCGAATGGAGGGTGAAATGCATGGTGGAGTGCTCGTTTTTCCCAGGCGTGATTTAGCTGCCCTGGTCTTCTTGCCAGTGGAGACAGAATGTGTCTTCTGGTGGTCTTCAGAGGTACTGCTGTAGCTGCAGACCTCTAATGTGTATTGCAAGGTTTTCCTTGGCTGCTGGCTGTCACCCGCATCTCAGTGACTCTCA